CCCCCGTGCCGCCGCGGGCGGGCAGCCGCGTCAGCGCCCCCTCCACGCCGCTCAGCCCCACGCGCCTGTCGCGGCTGCAGGAGAAAGAGGAGCTGCGCGAGCTCAACGACCGCCTGGCGGTGTACATCGACAAGGTGCGCAGCCTGGAGACGGAGAACAGCGCGCTGCAGCTGCAGGTGACCGAGCGGGAGGAGGTGCGCGGCCGGGAGCTCACCGGGCTCAAGGCTCTCTACGAGACCGAGCTGGCCGACGCGCGCCGCGCCCTCGACGACACGGCCCGAGAGCGCGCCAAGCTCCAGATCGAGCTGGGCAAGTTCAAGGCCGAGCACGACCAGCTGCTGCTCAAGTGAGTACGGGCTCTGTCGTCAACGCCGCGAGGCTCTCGGGACGCCATCGGGAGCCGGGCTCCGGGGGAGGGACCGCACAGGCCGGGTGCCTTGTCCTTCCGAAGGGTACGGGGTCCTCGTTTCCGAAGGGGGCAGGGCCCTCGTGTCTTAAAAGCAGAGGAGGGGGAATCTAGTGATTTAGAGTTGGACGGGGGTGTCATGGAGGGGCACTCGAGTTGTAGAGACGGTGGGGTCGTGGCGATTATTTATAGGTGGCTGGGTCAAATGCGGGGCCTGGGACTTGACCCCGGACCCCATATTTCCCCCCCCATCTGCAGGCCCCGGGTCAGGGGAGCTGATGCCACTGCGCGCGCTCGAATGCGCGCCCCGGTTTCCGGCGGGTGGGAGACAAAGCATCTGGTGGGTTTGCTGGACTAGGGCGGCTGAGCCGGGTGGACTCGCCAATCGCCAGAAGAATGAATGAGTTCTAGGCGGGCGGAGGAAGGGGAGGGACGGGCCCCGAGCATCCGCGGCTCCCGGGGGTGGGTCTTGCTTTGGCGCGCTCAGTCTCGACCCTGTGACATTTTGCCAGCTATCTGCGCCTGCCTTCACGACGCGGGAAGGGCGGGGACTGAGCTGCACGCCTTTGGCCTAGGGCTAGCTGGGTTTCCAAGCTGGAGAGTTTGCGTTGCGGTAGGATGTCCTCTGGTGGCGCCCGGGTCCTGGGTACTCTGCGCCCCAGATTCCTTAAACTGGGCTTTCGTAGGCCACGACCGTCAAGCCTCTGACTCGCGAATTACCCATTCTGCCAGCGGTAGCGCTCTCTTCTCTGCTTCAGCCTCCTGTAGAATAATGCTTTTCCTAGAGACAGTACTGCGGACCCACACCCCGCATACCTGCGGCCTGTGGTGCAGTCACTGTGCCACGGAAGATGTGTTTGAGTGAGGAAGAGCTAGTAATTCTGATGGGGACTGAGTTTTCAGACCCGGTTACATCTTTGTTGTCCTGTCCTTGATTTTCTGATGGGTAAAATATGTGACTCAGTTGTGTGCAACAAGTGCTGGCGTCACGTTGCAGATTTGCTGCATTTCAGTCCAGAATTTACGATCTTTTCACCACCGTCAGCAGATTTGTTTGGGAGGTGTCTGATTCAGACTTTGACCATTTGCCCCGGGATATCTTTCTGTACGTGTCTCTCATTTCCCTGACTCGTTACTTTTCTTTGGGAGCGTGTACCTTATCAGATATTTAAAAATGACTTGTAAAAGCGTATGTGGTAACAATAAAACCATGTATAGGCTGGTTTAAAATGAACATTTACTTGGTTCTCCAGGCTGGCCTGCAAGTCTTGGGCTTGCCCACCTATTACAGCATGTCTTTCCTGCCTCTCTCTCATTATTTTAAGTGTATGGGTATTTTGCCCTCATGTGTGTCTGCACCACGTGTATTCCTGGTAGAGGCCAGAAGAGGGTGTTGGATCCCCTGGAACTAGAGTAACTCACTTAAATAAGACACCACGTGGGTGCCGGGAATGGAACCTGAGTCCACCCGAAGGGCATCCACGCTTCCTAGAAGTTAGGTGCTTCTAACCGCTGAGCCGTCTCTCCAGCCCTGATTGGTTTTTTGAGACTGAAAATCACGGTGTCGCCCTGGATGGCCTGGAGCTCTCTGCAGACCAGCCTGGTCATCAGATCACAGCGATCCACCTGCCTCTGCCTTCTAACTGGAATTAAAGGCATGCGCACTATGCCCAGACCTCTTTTGTCCCTCCCTTTCCCCCCCCTCCCTCTTTTTTGAGATGGGTTTTCAGTTGCTGAAACTGGTCTTCAACTCTGGGACTTAAGCAGTTGTCCCACCTTGCCCTTTTTCAGTGTTGGAGCTAAGGTCCAGTGTCTGGCCTTGCAGCCATAACCTTTCATTTCTGTGACTTGGATTTATCAACACTTGGGGTCATCTTTTGAAATAATCATTCATTCACTGATACTGTTTTCTCTTTATCTTCCTCTTTTTTTTTAAAAAAAGACAGGACCTCAACTGTATAGCCCTGGCTAGCCTACCTCTGCCTTAGTGCTGGGATTAAAGGTGCTTCTCACCTTTTTCCTATATTTTCTTACTGCATTTCCTCAAAGTTTAGATGCCAATGCTTGTAAAACTTGGCGACTGTGGGGCTGGAGCGATGGTTAAGAGCACTGACTACTCTTCCAGAGGACCTGGGTTCCCAGCACCCACATGGCAGCTCACAGCTGTCTGTAAGTCCAGTTCCTGGGAAATCCCATACCCTCACACAGACATACACGCAGGCAAAGCACCAGTGTACATTGCAAAGAAAACAACAACAAAAAACTTGGCTTTTATTAGTGCATCACTAGAAAGAAAAACAAAATCAGGGCCAGCCCATGTCTTGGACCCATTCTCCATTTCAGAGATATTAAAATGTTATAGGTTAAACATGTGGTACGTGCCAATTACTGTTCTGTGTATTGAGGTCACAGATTAAAAAAATAAAAAAATACCTAATGTCCTAATTTTAGGATGCAGTGGGAGAGACCACACAGCAAATAAACAAATTGTCCTGTGTGGTCTGAGGCATTTTGATGCTGGGGCTCTAATAATCCATCTTTCCAGAGGATACCATTGGAGGCTTGCTACACAGTAGTAATACTGCCCCCTGGTGGACTGTAGTTGTAAATGTTATGGACCAGTCACATGTTGGCTTCAGCGGAATTAAAAAATAAAAACAGCATAGGATTTTGTATGTATTTTAGAACATATGGTATAATTTAGGTGATAACCAATGAAAGGAGAATAAAGTTGAGCAGCAGAGAAATAGTAAAGTCAAGTCATGCCTGTCTAAAAGATGACAATTGAAAATGATCTTTCAAGATGTCTTGGGTATATGTTCTTTTAGATTTGTGTCACAGTACATAGACTTCAAATGTCAGGACCAGGTGCATTTCTAACATCACAGTTCTCTCAACACGCCAGTGGTGGTGTCCTTTTATTTGGACTCTGTCATGTCTTGTGTAGTTTTGTTCTTAAATTGTTCATTTTCTTGCTGATTAAACGTCGTATCTGTGATGTTTTGAAGACATTTAATCACAACATCTGTATATAAATATATGTATATACATACATATCTATATCTGTATCTATATATTTTCCCTTGAGATGGGGTTTCTCTGTGTAGCCCTGACTGTCCTGGAAGGTAACTAGCTCTGTAGACCAGGCTGGCCTTGAACTCAGAGATCCGCCTGCTTCTACTTACTAAGTGCTGGTTTTAAAGGTGTCCATCACTACATTTGGGAGCTCTGTTTTTAATATGTCTTGTAGAATGGATACGTTGAAATTTATGGTACAGTTTTCTGAATTATATATTTTCCTTTGGTTTCTTTACTGTGTTGGAGACTATCTTTTCTTTTTTCTTTTTCTTTTTTTCTTTCCTTTTTTTTTTTTTTTTTTTTTTTTGAGAAAGGGTTTCACTGTTTAGCTCTGGCTGTCCTGGAACTCACTTTGTAGACCAGGCTAACAAACTCAGAGATCTGCCTGCCTCTGCCTCCCAAGTGCTGGGATTAAAGGCGTGCTCTACCACTGCCCAACTGGAAACCATCTTTTAAGTAACTTATGCAGGAAGGATGGCAGTGAATTGTCTGGGTGTCTGAGAATAACTCTCATTTGATTGGGAATTGGGCAGGATTGTCTTAACGTTTTGTCTCAGTGCGCCAAAGGTGTCGTTTTCCTGTCTTCTCGCATTCATGGCTGTGGTGTTTGGTACTGTTTTTTTCTGTTGCTGTCGTCTCTCCTAGTGTGCTCTCTGTTGCTGCGATGAGACGGGGAGAGGAGAGGGTGTATTTTACCTCACGTGTTGCAGTCCATCCTGGAGTGGTCTGGGCAGGAAGTGAAGCAGAAGCATCGAGAACAAACACTGCCTGCTTACTCCTGCTCCTCGTGGCTTGTTCAGTTTGCTTGCCTTCTTGACCAGGGTGGCATGCTCCCAGTGAGCAGGGTCCTCCTCCATCTATCAGAAATCACAAAAATGCCCTTATTGAGATTTCCTCTTCCCAGATATTTTTTTTTGTTTGTTTGTTTGTGCCAAGTTGACAAGAACTAGTCGCGCTCACCGGCCCTGCTCTTAGAAAACCTGGAGGTCTGTTACCGCCTGGTGTCAGATTTGCTCATGGTTGCTGTTCAGTCTTAAGTCTTTATGGTTCGAAGCCTTGCTTTTCTTATAATTTAGTTCTTAATGGTACCGGGCTTTGGGACATACATGTTGCCACAGCCCTTTCTGAACTCCATGTTCTCTGTTCTCTCTTGCTGGGCAACCCTTCCCCGGCCCCTTTTTAGGAATTGGCGGTGTAGCTCTGGTGCTGACATTACAGACAGGCCCCACTCCTTTTTCTTTTTACTAGGAGGTTACCTTAATTCCTCTCCAGCTCAATAATGACATTAACTTTATTTTGTTTTGTTTTTTGAGATAAGATCTCACTATATAGCCTTGGCTGGCTCAGAACTCACTGTGTAGAATAGTCTGACTGACTGAACTTAAAGAGATCTACATACCTCTGCTTCCCAAATGCTAGGATCAAAAGGTTTGCAGGATCACACCCATCCTGATTATTATTTTTAATTTGTGGATGGGGATTGTGGGTGTGCATCCTAGGGCTAGTGTAAGGGGGTCAGAGGACAATTCTGTGGGCCCTGTTTTCCCTATCTACCTTTCCATGGACTCTGAAGATCCACTTTGGGCAGCCAGGCTTGCTAACAAGCTCCTGCATCCATGTTAGCCATCCCACCAGCCCACTGTTTTCCTTTTGAGATCTGGCCTCACTGTGTCACCTTGACTGACCTGGAACTCTCTATGTAGAAGAGACTGGCCTCAGACTGACTGGCCTTAGCCTTCCAAATGCTGATATTAAAGGCTTGTGCCACCATACCCAGTATATACCGTCTTTATTGGTGTCCAGTGAGAGGGATAATACTAGCAGAGTAACCCATCAGCCTTTAAACCTTTGAACAATAAAGG